CTCTGCTCAGAGAGGTCATCACAGTCATTCAGCAGAATGAGCTTCAGGCAGTGCAGAAAATGTATTGGACCAAGTCATCTAAACCTGACTAAAGATGGAAACGTAGAGTTACAGTCAGGCGAGTGTGTCATCTCCTGGACCACACTGCCATTTCTGCCTTTTGGGATCCCAGAGGGAGCTGTTTTGTGGACATCGTTATATCTTCATTGCAGAAAGAAGCTTTCAATAAGGAATATCACAGAATTACAAACTAATTGGTTTGGACTTTATTCTCTGCTCTGTCCCTCCTCAAAGTGTAGTTAGTGTGAAAAGCAGCACATGAATCTGGATGTAACTCAAACTCAAGTGACATTTTTACTTTACAGTTCATATCAGAAGTTAACATCATGCCTGTAGCTCCTTCCCACAAAATGCTAGTTATTACACTGAGGATGGTATATAAGACAGTCCCTTCCTTGGAGCTCTTTATCTTGTTAGTAAAAATATCTCTTTTGCATGTCAGTCTAACGTGGTTCATTGGCCGAATTCTTCTTATTATTAAAGTAGAGGAAGAATCTTCAGCCATTCACCCATCTAACCAATCTTTACAACAGCATAATTCCACTTTTTTTTTTTCAACCTTTCTGGCGCTCATGTTTTGAATGGCCATGTGATTTTTTATTCCCTGGCTTGAACCCAAATCTTGAGATCCCTAATTGCCAGGGCAAGGCAAGCTACACACAGCTCAAGCCTTCCAGTGGCAGCAGCCAGCCCTGTGCTCCAGGAGGAGGTATCTGCTCCCTCGGTCAGCCCATGGTGCTAATCCCATTATTTTAAGCTTAGTGACATCTATACGTGTCACTATAGGTGACATCTATAGGTGTCTTTTATCTAGAAAGTGGCCTGAGGAGCTTAGCCTCACAAATGCAGCAGTAGGCACAAGAAAACAAGGAGTATTTAAATGGAGAAATGTGCTTCAGAGTAAGGGCATGTTAAAAAAAATGCTCATGATTCCTCAGTAATAATCTGTTTTCTTCCAGCAAGAGTTTGTCAACCTTTCCTTCTACAGAAGGCACAACTCAAGGTTTCTAACAGCTGTTCTGTTCTCTTTCAGCCAGTCAAACTTGACTCCACCATTTTCTATGGGTTCCTCAAGGGCATTTAACACCCTGAGAAAACAGTAGGTCCATAAAAGGAATATCAACAGAGCTCTTAGCACATGTATGTTCATGATTAGCTGTTTTAAGGTGAATATTCCACATAAAACAACACTGGAATAATTCCAAACTTGAATCAGGAAGTTTTAAACACAGAAGCCATGTAATACACCAAGGGTACTGTTTGGCAATTTGCACAGAGAAATGTGTTTTGAAAATAAAACACTAGGTAATAAAGAGGAAAAAAATAGGAATCATATTCCTAATGAACAATGCTAATGTTGCTGTATCATCTCTTCCTTTTAATCCCTTACAGGACAGTGCACTGAGCATAGAGTAGATTACATCTCTGATTTCACTTCTCATATAGTACTATCAGGTTTCTTTTCTTTAGGATGATAAACTTATATAGCAAGTTATTGTCATGGATATTGTAAAAACATCATTGTCCCTTTAAGGATACTTACACTGAAGAGGAAGATCCAGGGAGTCCACAGATTTTAACTTTATTTATGGTGAGCAACGCTCCCAAAACATCCGACAGTGCTTCTGTTCAGTGAAACAAGAAAACCCTTTTGACAAGGCCACCTTGTAGAGTCACGCTGGCTTCACAGGAAAAATTATCCCCCCACTGGTCTCAGCTAGGCTGGATTTATCAGGATTGGAAAAGAGCTGACAGGAACATTAGCTCATTCCCCACCAGTAAAATGTATGGTAACATACCTATGCCATATCTGCTCCCCTGACTTTCACCATTTTAGACCAGACCTGCAACAAATCCTCATAAGCAGGATCTGCTCTTGTTCCAGTTGGAAAGCAATTTTTAGTTTTATGTTCCCTCATGGGGAAAACCAAACAAAACAAAACAAAACAGTTGTCTCACAACAGGTAAGTCTTTTTTTTTTTTTAGATTTATGACAACATGAAATATATTTTGCCTCTTTTTTTTTTTAACGTGCCTTAGTGTTGTTATTTTCATCATTAAAAATTATGACATTTGGGGGAAAAAAAAAGTATATGCAGGAATAAACAGCACGTGGGATGTCAGCCTTGGATTTCACGGATAAAGGACTGCTGGTACAAGGGCAGGAAACGTGCCAGCCTGCAAAGACACCAGACGAGTGTGGTGAGCAGTAAAACACTTGTCTGCCATTTGGCCCCCCCTGAATCACCACCCCTGGCATCCTTGCAGCTTGTCACTGGGGTCGTGTGTTGTTTTCCACTCTAGCAGAAAGGATTGAGGAATAAGATCAGAACAGAGCAGTTTTTTTTTTTTCTCCCAAACACTGTTGAGGGAAGAAAACAAATTCCACTTAATAACCTTAGTTAAGGTCTAGCAGAGGAGACCCCCCAAAGAAGGCCCCTATAGGCCAGCAGAAGAACACGGGATTAAGGGTTTGGTAGGGACATGCTGAGCCCAGTGTCCAGATCCTGGTGCTGGAAAGGGACAGACAGCTGCAGCCGGGACAGACCTGGCTTAGACATCCCTCCACCTGGGACAGCCTGTGAGCTCTGGGCTCTAGATCCTAATAGTGCTCTTGCAATGTTCTGGGGTATTTTTTGCTTATTGTCAACCTAAATCCTTTCAGTTTTGCTGCCTTCCTACATAATTATCTAAAATGGCAGTTTAATTCTTGTGGTTTTACTGCTTTTCTCTCTCAGACTGAAATACTGCTGTGTCACCTTTCAGATGTCGCTTTGCGTGTTACTCATTCTGACAGAAGATCTCCTCAGATTTGGATGCATTTCCATTTAAAGTCTTTTAATCTATCAATCATATCTGTAAATATTGCTTCTTTGTTTCTGTAGTTATCCTTTATTACTAAAAAAGGCACCAAGTTTGGTCATTTGGCCAAGTAGACATGGATTTCTCTCACTTTGAAGTGATGAAAGAATGATATTACATTTTCCATTAATGCATTTTTGTCTGCATTTGGGTGACAGACATAGTATTTATTTTGAGGAGCCCTCAGTCATGATTTAATAATGGGGAGAAAATAGCACATAACATATCTAAGGGGAAAGCATAACAGTAACTATTATCCAGAGATGATGCTAGTTGAATTCTGATTAGAACTAAGACCTGCTTTTAGAAGGATGATCACTAGATTGTAATAAGGTAAGCAGTGAAATCTTAGTGTTTTGATGTCTGCAGAAGAAAAATCTGCACCTTTCTAGCCGATTTAAATTACTCAAAGACAGTTTACTTACTGAGGGAACAATCTCAACAAATTGCCCCTTGTTAAACATGAAACAAGATTGTATCACCCTGTGACCTCTTCTGACCTTGGATTCTATGCTTTTCCAACTTTAACAAAAAAAAAAAAAAAAGAGAGAAGTATTCTTCAGTGAATAGCTGTGCGTTATTCATGACAGATTTTTGAATGGCCTTAACTTGAGTTGAATATGGAGAATTTTCTGATTATCAAACTGTAAATTGTCAGCCCCTGAGCACTCAGGGAGCAGTGTTCTTGCAGTATCTACATGCCTAGAGATACGGAGAGTACTGCCAAATGCCTACGGGGGCCAAAAGTGATTTGAAAACAAATGACTGATTTCCAGGAGAATCAGATACTTTGGAAATGCCATAGTGTGCCTCTGTGCATCCTTCAGCAATCTTCCACAGCCCCAGGCGAATGGACTTCAGCACCTAATCCTGCTATCAAAAGAACTTCAGTCAGGTGGGAACCAGTGAGTCTCATACACAGAGAAAATGAAAATGGGGCTATGGGGAAAAGACACCAGCTCATCTGGCAGGCCAGCAGCAGTCATTTCAGTGCACCGCAGCAAGCTGGGCTGCAAGAAGCATCCGTTCAGAAGATGTTTCAGAGCCTCTACAGCAGGGAGACACAAGGACTCTGTTAGGCACCTTGATTGCCAGTTGCCTTGTTAGTCCTGGATGGGTCCCACTGGGGCATTGAAACACTTTGATGCATCTCATCAACAAAATGAAATACTTATTTAGATGTCTTTCATTCTCTATTTTTTTCTTACCTCACTTTTTTATGAAAATAAAGAGCCACTGCTAGTTTTTCTTGCATCAGATTTTGCTCAAATTTGGCCATGTGCTCTGCTTTGTTTTTTTATTGCAAGCTCATCTGGCGAAAAGGCACACAGTAGCTGTTTGACAGCTACAATACCAATCAATCATTCAATCAACTAATAGCACCTACTGCCACCTAATAGCAGGTGAGAAAATTCCTAAAGTTCCTAATTCACTGGAACTATTCCCTGGAATCGTGTACTATGTTTTCAAAATCTCTATCTGCTACACAAATCAGGCATGGTGAAATAATTCATTCTTTAAAGGCAAATGTTTAATTAAAATCAAAGAAGTCTTGACTTTTTTTTCTTAAAGATAAGCAATAATTTATTTCTCTTTCATCTTCACAATTATCACATATTGCCTAGCTACATGACCAATGCCACTACATAACACAGGAGAATTGCCCACCTACACTTTACTTGGACAAATACAATTGCAATTTACAGGTTAAATGTACTGTACAATGTGTTGTTGGAAAAAGGTCATTCTTATCTATATGATGGAATGTGGCATATGATTTATTAATAGATGAAATCTAAGATGTAAAACTTTAACAATTTGTTAAGCCAAGGATAGAGTATAAAGCATTTTGTTTTGGTATTGTATTGTTACTAAAGTAGAAAAAAAAGAAAGCTAGAGAAATAAATCCAGATCTTAACTTACAGGATATGTATTAGGTTAAGAAAGTAATTGGCTTCTCCATTTTTTTGTTTTGTTTTTTTCTTTTCTTTTTTTTTTTATACAAATGAATAATATGAATATATTGCAGGATAAAGAAAGACTGCCAGGTAAAGAAGGTACCGTGAAAAAACAATGAAAAATTACTTGCTTACAAAACAAGCCAAACTATAAACAGTCACAAAATATATAAAAATGCCACATTGAACGAGGCAATCGTACTCTACCTAAACTGGTAGTACACTCTCTGAAAGAAGTTGTGTTCATACAGTAGTAACTGACAGAAAGGCATTGTGCACTCTTGTGCCATCTGGAGATTTAGCACCGTGTGTCATCAGTTCTTGTATTGTCATCCAGTTGTCCAAGATTTTCTTGTTTCTCCTCTTCATCATCTTTTTGTGACTCAGTTCAATAATGTTAATTTCCTTTTTGCCCTCACTGCCACTCTGTGGACTTTCCTTAAGACACTCCAGCCTGCTCCGCATCATGAACTCCCGCCGCCTCCTCTGCTCCTTAGCTCTCACCAAATGCTGCTTCCTCTCTTCTTTGCTCCAGTAACGACCCATCTTCATTTCACTCATCGTATCATCATCTGTCGTCATCCCGCTGCGCTCCTCTTTAATTTTTAAGGCACGTTCCTTCAGGATTCTGTCTCGAACTGGTCTCTTTGTGATATACCTTGTCCCATCACTCCTTATTTTCACTTTCCATTCCATCTTGGGCTCTGCACACTTCTGCGAGTCTTTGCACATGCTCACCAGGCTGAGCTGGCTTTGGGCATACTCTACAGCAGATTTCTGCTGGATCAGTTGCATATAACTTTGATAATGCTTTGCATGAGCTGGGATATTCCCATACCTGTAAGAAGAGCTGTGATACGGAGACAGGTAGGGAATGTGCTCACTGCTCTGCTTTTCTTGGTCTGTAAATTTTCCACTCTCTGAAGCCAGCACTGTGTCCTCAGCAGGATTGTTTTGTTCAGTGACTTTGGTTTTGGATGAGGTTGCCTCCCTGCTGCTTTGTCCTGAGGACAACTGGTTAGCCGCAATGGTGCTCCTCAGGTTTTTCCTGTTGGTGATGCTTATCATCCTCTGGAGGGAGTTATCTGGGGAGCGCTCTACGGTCAGTGGAGTGCTCCTGCAGCTTTCGGCTGTGTTGTACGCGCTGGAGCTGTCCTTGTCAGACTTCTCGGGGTGCTCCATTATATCATCCAGTTTGCCTCTTTGTACATCGACACTGGTGTTATAGTTCCTGAACCCTTCATCATGCAAAGCCCAAATGTCTCCATATTGATCCCTCACCTTTTGAAGCCGGTGAGCTTGCATAATACTCTGACATTCGAGTTCAATATTCCTCAGCTCCTCATTGAGTAGCTGCAGCTCATGCTCTACCCCATCTTGCTCCCTTCTGTTGCACTCTATCGTGCTGCTCGAGTAATACAGATCATACTCCCCATGGTTTCGAATCTTGCACTTCAGTTCCAAGAGCTGCCGAAACCTTTCACATTCCTCATCTGGGTTTCCTATGAAATCAGATTCAATGTATTCTCCAGATGCAAAGCTTTCATTGCACTGGAGTTCAACACTTCCTAATGTGTCTTGGCTCTGACCCAGCTCCCGTTTGCTCTGCAGGGTGGCACTGTTCTGCTCCTCAGGTGCATTTTCTTGCTCTGAGCTCTCATCATTACGCAGACTTTCATCTGTAGGTCCCACCCCACTGTCCTTCTCATGGTTATTGGATGATGAGGTTGCAGTGTCTGTAGTGCCATCTTCTTCTTCATGCTTCTTTGGCTAAAATAATGAACAAACCAAAATGATTATCAAATGCAGACCCATATTACACGAGAATATTTTCCAGCTCTGTTTTGCTTAAACAGCTGGGATCTGATTTAAGCTGAATTAGAACACTAAACAGCACTCCTAAAGCTCATGGCTTTTAAACATTTCTGAAAGTCATGCTGTGGTGGCCATACTGAGTGAAATAGATTAAGTGCAGCACTAGTGACATATCTTCTAAAGTCCAGAAAGCAATATTCCCCTCTCTAGCTAAACCATCTCTTCGCAGGGTTTAAAGATAATGATCTCCAGATGGTGCACTGTTTTTGATTCTGGATCATGGCCAGGGACTGGTGAAGCTGAAATCCTGTCAAACTTGGGAAAAAGCTTTAGTACCTGTATCATTAAAAAAAAAAACAAACAAACTAGAGCAAGCAGCTAGTCCAACCATGACTCTAGTGCAAACTAAGAGAGTGCAAAGAAACTATTTTCATCACCAAGGCATTTTCATTTCAACCAGTAAACTCTTTATGTGCTACATAAAGACCGGCATGGTTAAAGCCTGCAGAGGGCTAGCCCTTTCTACTATAGTTTCCATGCTCCTTTCTTCCACATCTTGCTTTCAATGATCTTTTGCTAATTCTAGGATTTTTTCTCAATAGACCTCTGTATTGCAGCCTTGAGGATCATTTTTGTTCCCTAGCTAGAGTTTATGTTCCTTAGAAATAAAAACAGCCTTTTACCATTAACCGTAGAACAATACTGAGTGCTTGCCATTGGCAAAATGTCAAGCTTTGAGGCTGTTTTTTTTTTTTTAATTCACTCTCCACTCATTGTACCTAACCTATTCATATTCTTTTAATTCAAAAACTGTGAGATAATATTTCTCTAAAGGGTGTATGCTCTTTCTTTTTCAAATTGGATATGCAAAAGCATTCCTCCCTCTTCACCTTACAGAGTAATTACCCAGAGTGTACTTTATATCACCTGTTCCCCAAATATCTAAGTGCACATAGCACCAACCAAATGCTTTTTCTCTTTCAGGAGGTATAATTACAAAATTATGTGTAATGGGAGTAATAATCAAGGGAGAAAAAAGGTACAGTGCATCCAATGAAAGGTAACAAACTCAAAGAGGTCACTGTCATAATAAATTATTTTTTTCCTACTTTGACAGACAGTAAAACAGTTCTCTTTAACTTGGACTCTGTGATAGTACACACTTCAATTGCTTTTCTTTGTTCAGTTGTTAGGGAAAACTAATGGCCTAGTCTTAAAAAACAAAAGCAACCTGGAAATGGAAAGTAACAGCGAAATAAAATAAATTTTGAATGAAATACAACACCAGAAGAATTCACTGTGTGTGACAGACTAGTTAAAAATCTCTGAAGGGTTGCTTTAGCAATTTCTCAGTCTCAGACAAGGCATGTAAAGAAAAAGTTCTCTTTACAATAATAGTGTACATCTTACATCCATCCTTATGCACATATAACATATGATGATAAAATATGCAATAAAAATATGCAAAAATTCTCATGCAGCATGTAATTCTCTTGGCAGCAACATCTGTAATCTGTCAACTACTATCACTCACTCTCCCCAAATGGAGGAGAAATTTAAACATCATGAGAAGCAGACAGGGGATACTTCTTATTCAAGAGCTTATGCAAATATTCAATGTATATTGATGTTGTAAGATCAGATTTCTTTGGAACTTGATTTTGATTGTGCAATGGAAAAAGATGAACTTTCATGAAAAATCTGCTAGTTTCTAAAATTTACAGGTATGCTTTTTTCTCTATCAGATATCCTCTCAGATATGTCTATTTATCCATTCAAAAGCAAAGGTATCTTGGCTTTGTTGAAAAATGGAATATAAAGAGTAGTAAAAACAGCATCTGAATTACTTAAGATAATATGGAGTTTCTCTGCACTTACCATTTACTTCTTTCTTTACTCAGTTAACACATTACTGTGAAAGAGCATAAAAGTCAATTGGAAGATTTTTTAAGGCTGAAGTAGATACAGGTACATTTTAAAGAGGAGCTGGAAGAGTGGTGGGAATGCAATGTCTTCCCATACTACTTGCTTTCTAAGAGTTCTAAAATTTTATATTTTGCAGAGAGACAAAACTAAACGCCTGCAAAATTCTTCATGACATCCCAAAGTATCCAGAAAGCAGTCCAGTGGCCAGGACATTCACTGAGATTCTTGGGAGACCTGAATTCAAATTCATATTTTTCTAATCCACCTCTTCCATGTGTCTGCCACTGTGTTAGCAATTCTGATCCCTTCTTTCATGTCCTTTGTAGCTGCTCCTGCTTGTATTGACCTCCTCTGCCTCCAAACCTCTCAGCAGAAAAGGCTCCTCTACAGCCCAAACGAGTGCACCAGCCACTATACTGTGCAGTTCATTTCTCTCTGTTCCAGAAAATACAACTTACACTTGGGAGACAGCTCCATCAGATCGGGAGAGCCCTGCTGTAGAATGGCCATTGAGGTGGGCACCTTCCCCAAATGCAGGGCTCCATCTACACTAGCAAATGAGAAGTCCACTCTCTGGCTTGAAGGGTAAGTAAGTGGCATAGCTCAACTTGCATCCATATGATGAAACTAATCCCTTAAAAAGGGGTGACATCCACACAGCATCAACACAGTGACTTAGCTTCCATGAGCTGAGTTGCATGATGCTACCAGAGCTTCCCTTCTCGTCTCCAGCATGGTGCTGCATCATTAAACAAGCGTATGTGTGGGCATCACTGAAAAGTCTCTTAAGGTACCTATTTGCATCTTTAGGTGTTGAGAGAGACTTTAGAGTTTGCTATCAGCGCTTTCAGAATTGATGGTTCTTGTTTTACACACCACTTCTACCAGCAGTTTAAATTTTGCTCCTTCAAATTCCATTTGATCTGGACTGCGTGAACAGAATATGCTGTCATCTGTTCAAGTTAGACAAAGCATAAATAATACACACAATATGCACATAAAACAACATATAAAAGATAGCAAAGCACATTCCTCCTCTCTGCCGAAACCCAAAGGTTGGGATGTATTAGACCAACTATAAACACCTGTTGTATGGGCATCTGTGTATCAGGGAGTCCTGGCATTCAGATTCTTCTCCTCATAAAGCAGACATCCACTTTTAGGGAAATCCTTTACCAGGATGTGAATACAAGTAATCAATTCATTTATGAAGACTGAAAGTAATACAGACGTTTATTGCAATTTATGTTTGGGGGATTTATTTCCTGCCCCCCCCCCCAAAAAAAAAATCCACTGTGACTCCAGTAAGAAAGCCCCTGGCTTTCTCTTTAGCAAAGCTCCTAAACGTGTGCAGACTGAGAAACCTTTTCCAACATGAGATTATTTTAATCTTATTTTGAAAGCTAACAGACCTAATCAAGTTAAGTGCATTTTGAAGAACAGTCTCCAGTGATCAATGCATTGCTTTTGTCAATGTTATCTATTATCTCTTCTCAAACAAAGTGTTGGTTTTCAAACACACATTGTCAATCTCTTGCACAATTATTTCCCTTTAAAATACCAAAGGGCTCTGTAGGCCTCATCTTTGCAGTGAGAATGCAGATAATGAGAATGTGAAGCTGTTGGTGTATACAATCAAGCAATAAATGAACCTCAAAAGTTCTGTATTTCAGCTCCAGTAAGCATTACTGCCTATAAGAATGGCTAATCTTGCAGGAATTCAGGCACTGTCTGGTCTCATTTTACAACTTTTGCTGTATATTGGGGCTTAAGACCCAGGCTGTCACTAAAATTTGAAAACAGTGAGATTCATTTTGAGGGTTTTAGCAAACCTGGGCTCACTGGTCAGTCCCTGACAATGAAAGTGAGATTGGCCACACTTAGAGGAACTGCCAGTCTCCCCAGTACTGGAAGACTTGGTAGGCAAAATATGAGATACTCAAGCCATGGGGGAAGATAGGGATTGATTTCAATGGTGCACTAAAGGGGAAAGCGTTCTTTGGCAAATAGGGCTGTTCCTTTAAAAAAGGCCCCTCCCAAAAGACATTTTTCCTCCAGATATTTTCTCTACATTTCAGCTGTGAATATACACAAATGAATTATTTTAACCAATTCTTTCTTAATAGGTTTTGATATATTTCATAAAACTGATAAGAATTTCTGCATGGCAAATGTGTTCTGAAAGTTATCTGTGCTTTACAATGAACAGAGAAGCTCTAACAGGGAAGAAACACAATAGGTTATAGTAATGGAGAACTATATCTTTCCTTTAGGTTTACTGAACTATGCTATACAGAGAAGATACAATCCTTGATTAAATTATATAGTGGCTCCAAAACCACATGCAAAAGATACGACTATCTACTTAATTCTTTGCCATTCTTCTATTATAAATGCTACAGTTCTTTTTCTGTGACAGTTCACAGTAGAGGTTAAAATGGCATTCTGTAAAACAGACTCATATTTGGAAGGACATTCTGCTATAATGTGCATTCAATCCAGCAGCCCAAGAGATTCACGATGACAGATGATCGCAGAGCCAGAGGACTGTGTTCTGGTTCACAAAAATTATGGTTGGCACTGGAGTGGCACTGGGGTGAAACCTCTACCATCAGCCAAGGAGCTTCAAGCTCCTGAGCTTGGATACTCTGCAGTAAGAGCGGCTTCATTGCTCCAATTGTATTACATGATTCACCCAAGGAAACTGTCAAGCTCTCCTAGCCTAACAAGGAGTAAAGAACGTAATTTTCTGACTTGCTGACTCACTCCAAGGAGTCCAGAAAAGCAGAAGCTGCCACAAATTATGGATGTCCCATTATGCACCAAGCTGCATTTGGCCGGTTTGATTACTCAGCAGAAGGGCAAAGATATGTCTGGCTATCCTAAAATTACTTCAAACGGTCTAACATCAGACACCTGCGGAGAGCAAGTAACCGTAATTTGTTCAAGCACAGCTCTCTCTACATTAGTATAAAATCTCAATGGGGAAGAAAAAACTCAGCCACTTTGTGGAACATCAAAATTCAATAGCTAACACTATCCAAATCCCAAATCAGCAAAAAGGCAGTTTCACAATACCAAGGGAATGGATATGAAGTGATTTCAGAGGCTCGGCATGTTGCATGAAGGACTAAAAAGGGGTTGTAGTTAGATATATGCAAGAACTTTCCCCCAAAGTGGGGGTTTTTGTGAAAATATTATTGTGCAAACTTAAAGGCTTTGCAAAGAACAAGCATTCTCTCTGACAGAAAATATGTGGATGCTCCAGATAGCAATTTTGATTAAGAAAATTAAAAAGATACCACTTCTCAGCACAAAGCAGGAAACAGTGCAATAGTTGACACATTTACCTGAGAAAGTGAGCCTGCAAAAAGGGGTCATTACTGAAAGGCTGCTATAAATTCTGCTGCAAAGCTCCCTTCAACTCTGACCAGGGGGCTATTCTACTTTGTGCAAATACTGTAACACTTGTAAGATGAAGGATTTGAAATCTGATCTACCATATTCTAGATAAGTCTTACTAGCTAAGATATTCTGTCAGTGCCTTTGTCCCAGGGAATATTTAATTTATGCAAAGTGAATAGCTTTACCAAGAGATGTTACTTAGTCTATAGACCAGTGTCAGGGCATATGGTCGGGAGGGAGCAGCGAATGGACTAGACCGATATTCAGGTCTGGAGCCTGGACAAGGCAGTGTGGGATTTGGAGGTCTTCTAGGAGGCAAATAAGTTTTCTGTTTGTGGAAGATGGCTTTCAGTCCCTCTCCCTCTCTTCACTCTGTAGAAAAATACCTGTGGCCCTGCATTGGAACTATTCAGAATGGGAAAAACAATTTTAAGTAACAAATTTATGTGAATGGAAAATGTTTCTATGCAGCTCCGGATATGCAGAAGCCAGTAAATGAAGCTCGATTTTATTTCTTCCCCTCCACTCAGTGTGTAGGCTGCCAGATCATCTGGTAGAGTTGTGAAAAAGGCCGCTTACAACTCCCACAGTAAAGTACAACGGTGGAAATCCATCCCTTTATGTCATTGTACAGCTGAGGATGCACATATATCTTTGCCACAGTCATATAACTTACAGCACATATAGGCAGGTATGAGTTAGGACAATAGCAAACTGAAACTATCCTAAGAATAGGTTTAGTTGTCTCCATTAACAAAGCATCTGACCAATTCTGTGCTGTTGGTGTAAGAAAAATCTGCTTGTACTACTGTTCCTCCACCAGCATGCCTGTTTGCTTTAACATCTCTTCTCTCTTGTTTTAAAGTAAGATTGCATGCTCTGTGGTGCAAGGGCTGGCTACACTCTGTGTGTGTACAACAAGAAGCAGCACCAGTCCCAGTTTGGAGCTCTGGAGATTCAACTCTGATACAATCTATTAAAAATAAAGAATGACATAAAATATAAACAGAAAATACTCTAGAGTTTAAAGAGGTGATAAATATGAGAGCTCAGCAAAAATGAGACTTCTGCACTTCCAATCTCACAGCTTCCTAAATTGTTTGTAAACTTGACATTTAACTTTGGTCTAAAAATTTACTATTCTCTTTTCCTTACCTACAGCGTACTGGCGATCACAGCATTTTAGAGACAAAGTTCTATCAAAGCCTCTGACTCCATTTTACAGTATATCATTTTATTCTCTAGTAATAAAAGAGTATACCTGGTAAAATTTCAAATGATACATTTAGTAACAGTCCTACCTGCTCCACCTCATTGGCTGTGTACTGCATCGCTTCATTATGCTGCTCTTCCAACATCTCTAAGTTTAACTCCTCTAAGAATTCATTCCTTTCATCATCCAGCCACCCTTCCTCCAGCTGCAAAGAATACATTAGTACATTATATTATGTTAGCAAGGATGCATGCTACAACAGGGTAAACCCAAATGGCAATGCTTGACTAGTTCTTTTTATCATAATGATTCTCTTCAGAATGCAAGGCTGCAGGAGTTCACTTCTCAAAAAGGAAAAAGGAAAAAAAAAAGGATAAAAAATGAAACTCTCATGCCTTTTATCCTTTCTTGAAACAGTATGACTGATTTTCTCTCATAATGAAGGAGACTGCACAGCACAGACATGATTTCCTTTCAAAAGGTATGAAAGGCAAAGCACATAATCCTGAAGCTGTCATGTTCATTACCTCCAAGAGCCCAGCGCTGAAAGGACTGGGGAGTTACTAATAGGGCCGTGAGACAATTGGTCTCTTTCCTTTAACAACCCCTGCCCCAGTGCTGTGCCTGGGTGCCAGGATCTCAATAGAAGCCTTATTTGGTACTTCTATCACAGTTTTCTTATTGGTGTGCCAGGTAAACAAACAAACAGAAAAAGGAGCCTGAACTAGGCAGTGACTTGTAGAGTACCTGGGAAGAAGTCTTATCTGCTTGTTTCTTCCTAAGGTTAATATACTGCTTTAACATTTGGTGAATATAACATTAAAAAATGGATTTGAGGGACACTAAGTTTTCCTGTCTCTACATCCTTTCCATCTTTCTAAACTGCTAAACAGGCGCAGTTGGTCTCCAACCCTGCTCTTCCCCTTTTGCTCACTGAGCACACATGCACCAGCATTCACCCATTTGGGTGGTAATCCCTTGCCAGATGGTGTGTTGAAAAGAATATGTTGGTCTGTGACACTCCTGGCTTTAATCAAAGGAGAAATATTGGAAAGAAACACTTCCTGTTTTGCCATTGGTGATGGCATCAGCAGAATTGCAGAATCACAGAATGACAGAACGGTTAAGGTTGGCAGGGACCTCTAGAGATCATCTAGTCCAGCCCCTCTGCTCCAGCAGGGACACCCGGAGCACGTGGCACAGGGTGGCATCCAGGCGGGTTTGGAAGATCTCCAGAGAAGGAGACTCCACAGCCTCTCTGGGCAGCCTGTTCCAGGGCTCTGTCACCCTCACAGGAAAGAAGTTCTTCCTCATACAGAGATGAAGTTTCCTGTATTTTAATCTATGCTCTTTACCCCTTGTCCTGTTATATTCTTCCTTCACGTATTTATACATACTGATCAGATCCCTTCTCAATCTTCTTATCTCCAGGCTAAACAGGCCCAGCTCACTGAGCCTTTCCTCATGCAATAGATGTTCCAGTCCCTCAATCATCTTTGTTGCTCTGAAGAAGTGTGACAAAGAGATGGTAAAGCGTGCAAGTCCCAACTATTCAAAAGTAAGAGCATATCTTCAGACAACAAGTGGGAAGTAATGCGGACCAGCACCTGCAGTACAAGTACCACTTCATCAAAGCCAACACAGCTCTGCCCCACAGATGCCAAAATGAAAAATTAAACCAAATCAGTAAGCAGTAGTTTGAAGTTATACAAACAGTACAAGCAGTGATTGATGCTGTGTGGTACTTTTAACTGCGTATTAGTAGGACCTCACTCTGGATGTTTCTCTCTCAAATTCTGATGTGTTTTTGCCTGTGCCATTTAACTCTTTCCTCTTATAACAAAGAGAAACGTTGGGAAACGTTTTCCTGGGAAAAGCTATCTTCCAAGTGCTTGGGACTGTTCTTAGTTCTTTTTTTGTTGGCACTTAATTTTTATGCTTGTCCTTTAAACCATATTCTGAAACACCTTTCAGAGGTCACCCGTTTTGTTTGCTTGTCTTGTTCATTTTTTTCCCAAAGAAAGGATGAATGAGTCCTTCCCTACCAGAAACTGAACAGTTGCATTTTCCATAATGGAGGAAACTGCTGGGCTTATCAAATCTGGAGCATGACCACTTGGGTAAATCTGCTCCAATAACTTACGGAAGGGAATTCTTGTGTTATGTTACAACTTTTAGAATAAAAATACTTGACTTAGAACATGATATACATTGGGTGTACTTATACCAGTGTGAACGCACATGCCTGTGCTGCTTGTTTATTTATTAAACAGGAGGTTCTGTGTGCTCCTCTGCTCTCCTTCAAAACTTAATTATACATCAGTATTCACTGTGCAAATAAATGGTCAGAGGTGTCCCTCCCTGTTACTGAATGAATGTGCTCAGCAGTCAATCTTCAAGATTGCAATACTGCCATTACCATTTCCCATCTGAAAATGAAAGCCTCCTTAATCCCATTCTTCTTTACTATCAGAGTCAAAGCAACACAGGTAGCTGAAATCCACTGTCTGAGGACAACCTGATTTCTGAAATACTATTGCTTTCTCTTCATTTTTGCATAAATATATTTGTAGAACACCAAAATTACACTAAAACTAAACCTAATAATAATATAAAACAGCAACACCTAAACACCAAAACATTTTTATACAATGAAAGCAGTGTCTACACAGGAAGCTATACTGGTATAATTCCTTATCTTATATCAATTTCTTTTTTATGCTGATCATTCTAAACAAACACAGAGAGTGACCTTTTCCTGGGCAAGAATTTTATAAGTGGGTGGTTTTCTGTTCCCTACTGAAAAATAAGCATTTAGTAAGAATCCTAAGACTATTGTTGAAATGACTCTTTCAAAACTTATTCAGATTTCATGAAGGCTTTTGCAATATAAACTGAGGAATAGCTTTGTTTTGCTGTATTGTATTACCAGTTTTATGGAAATGAATGCTGAAACTGTGACTCTGTATAACTCCTGGAATGCAGTAGAGATTCCAAATGTCACTGAATTACTCTCACTCAGTTTAATCTATACAGAGTATGCAGCTACTGAGGCTGAGAAATATCAGATCAATAGCATGAGAGACAAATGGCAACATAACTAACTTTGCTTGAACTGCTGGCAGATGGAGAGAACAGTGACAATATAGTGTCTCTTTCGCTTTGAATGGGTTATAAACAGAATATAAAGGGAAGTACAAACAGTACTCTTATTTCACTGCTACCTCACCTTTAGCCTGATGAACAACCTAACAGCTCCCTCTGCAAAGATATAAAAATTCTTAAAAATATTTTTAAAAGCTTTTAAAAATGCATCTCCCAAGATACAACTTGTCATATACATGTTTTTTTTCTTATACAAACAAAAGGTAACAATTTTGGTTGTTTTGAAAACAATTAGAATCAGGCTTGCTGAATAGTACCATAATGAAATTCCTACTATTAATGCTTAAATTAATAGCTTATGTGTCCATTTACAAGAGCTTAAGATAAAAAGAATCATCATCAATGACCAGCAGTATGGTGTAAGCCAATATAAATGACAGAAGTATGGGAAATATATCCCCAGAATGAACAAGATATATTAGACAAGTAACATGCACTTTTTAAGTGTACTTTGCTAATAATTACTGCCGTCAGATGTATTTATATATCTACTTAGTCTATCTGCTGCAAAAGGAATTGCTTAGCTTTGGGCTAACAAGCCCTAGTAAATATCACATTGTTTTATTTGTTGGCTAGGAAATAGCCAAGCTCTGGAATTATCTTTTTCCTTCTTTTGTCAGGAACTTTAGCATTGCTGTCTCTCAGCTGCTCATTAGTTATGGTGACAGTGAATGTACAGTATAATGTGGATCCTAGCTCAGTGCATCTCTTCAATCTAACCTGCATCTCTGGTCTCGCGACCAGCAACACAATTTTCTTGCATTCGTCGCTGGAGAGCAATGCCACTGCCTCTTCCCGATTCTGGACATCTTGGCCATTTATCTAGAAAACAAATGAAAGTGGCACATTAGTTTCTATTTCCACAAAGCAACATACAATAAAGGGCAAATATCAGCTCATTTGTGGTGAATGTATGGACAATGAAGCTCATGCAATGGGCTCCTCTTCAGCCCCTCAGTGGTAAGTGCCTTCACTCAATTATGCGCTTACTGTAAGAGCTGTATCGATCGTTGAAGGATGGCGGACATCAGAGGAAGCAGTTATGTTCATAAATGTCCAACCTGCGCCCTGGTAACATACATCTAGCAACACAATTAACCAGCCCCTGACAGGTGACGTTCATCTTTCTCCGTTCAGAGTAATGGAAGTGTCACTCTGAGATAATAGTGCTGGTGGAAGCAAGACTGGTAATACTACAGCTGAAATCAGTCATACTGTAGGCTTGTAGAGAGCCAATTAGAGAGCTACAGTATTATCTCTCACCAGGCAATACTTACAGGCCACTGCTTATTGCTCTCCCATTTAATCATCTTATATTTGTGTGTCCAGCTTAGTATCCAGAACCACACAACACGCATGCATTCCTGTCACAAGGGGATAACCAAAATAAAAGTAGTTCACCAGTGAGAATGTGCTTCTCTGGGCATCTTTCTGCAGTTTTTTCACTACATTTAAACAATTATGTTCAGGACTACATTGGAACAAACACATTCTGTACTGCCCAAAAATCCTACTCAAGGGAATTAAATTCCAAACACAAATGATGTTCTCCGTATGTATTCAGTTTTGTCCAATTTGCAGCATAAGAGCAGGGTTATTTTCACTCTAGCAGCAAAAAATACATGGTCTATTTGAACAGGGATGAGGACAAAACTGGAAGACAGAAGAATCTGACCATTTGGAGGAAAATAAAATATCACCCAATATTTAGGTTTTCTGTAAGGGCTCATTTTCAAAGCAGCAGGAACTTCTTAGTTGAACAGTACAGAGAAAGCTGTAGTTTTTCACGCATGCAGGTGCATAGCCTGAACACCATGACTCAAAACCAGGGTTTTAGTTTCAATTAAAGAAAACACCAGTGTACCCTGACCATGTAACTGGCAATCTGCAAAACACTTGAGACACTTCAAAGATTGCAGGAAGGGATAACTGTGGTCTGTAGGAGACCAGGCAACCATCTGGTAACATACAGCTGCCCTCAGCTGAAATGTGGAGACATAGACCAGTGCCCAGAGAGGCACAGGGTAGATCTTCAGCTCCTGCACAACACCGTCAGCCTGAGTGACTGCTCAGGAGATGTGCATCCCCTGGGGTGCTGAGGTTGTGTGAGGCTAGTGAGAAAGTGAACAATTTCAGGTTCAAAAACCTGAGGAAATGTGCTACGCTCTCATGAGATAGAAATAGAAGTACCCCCCTTCTCCTCCCAGCTTTAATCTAATGCCACCTGCTGCTCACAGAAAATGCCCCCACTCAAGGACCCTGCTTTCTCCAAACCCCCACAAAATCCCAACATAATGTCAGTGTCAACTTCCATTTCTCTGAATTATCTCATCAATAAGAGCAGATAGAGGGTCAATACGTTTTCAGAGATGAAAGTAAACCCCACATAACTCTCTGGGTGTTAACTTTAATGATCAAACTCATAGCTATATATCAGTACTGACATTAAAGTAATGCTCTAGTCTACAAGAGCACCATGGAAATACCTGTGCTTTCTCTCACCCTTGGAGTCTTTACTCACAAGTGAAATGAATTTCATTAGAAACTCGAAAATATTTGCCTGACCTCTATTTCACTCTCTGTTTCATCCCGAAATTTTAGAAGAGGAAAGTAGCAAAAAATGAATACATTTCCTTACTTTAAAAATGCATAAAAAGTTGTAATGAAAGGTTTTTTTCACAAGAAAAAGAAAAAGAAAAAGAAAAAGAAAAAGAAAAAGAAAAAGAAAAAGAAAAAGAAAAAGAAAAAGAAAAAGAAAAAGAAAAAGAAAAAGAAAAAGAAAAAGAATGCATCTGTTTTCTGATGTTTAAAAGTTAAAAGCACCATTGTAGCCTGTTTGTTTTCCTTGGTGAGTTTTCCTGTTTATAATGATATCCTGTAACGTAGCTGCATAACCCTGAGTCCCACTGAGGGTTTCCCTGCCGTCTTGCAGTAGCTGTGTGCGTTTTGTGCGGGAACATGCTCTGTACTGTGAACATTTGCTACATTCTCGACCACACAGAATAAAACAGCAGCCCCTGAAAGAGCCCTGACATTCAAATTTCCTTTTTGAAACACAGGCCACTTTGGCAAGCCATCTTGTAGATCTTATTGTGCTCAGGAGATTAACTAGATTCCCAAGGCTGATATCAAGGTAAAAAATACAGCTACAGCTTTTGGCAAAGATGTTTCCTGTGGAAATGAAAAGACTGGAGGGAAGGAACAGACTGATCTTGCAACATCCAGAAAGCTTGTGTGCCTAAATTAATGAAGAGCATCTATGGAGCTGTTTACTGAAAAGCAAAAAGCAACGTGTCACTGCCCGTAGCTACTGCTGGGGATTAAGTGAAAAAAGGTCAATATACAAGGGAAATCAACTGGAAAACAGGACTAAAATACAACAATGCAGCAAGAAGTTTCCAAATTACTGGTTTTGGTAGTTGTTTTTTGATTTTGTCACTGAGGCAAAATGTGCTATTCACTGCCAGTTCAAAACTGAAACCTACCATCATTCTAGCTATTTTCTTCTCTTTACAGCTAAACTGCCCTCTTTCCTTCCTCCAAACCTAACAGCTAATCATCTTCACTTACGGGCACTGTGCCTTATTGCATAAACCTATCTATCTTAGACAGCTGCAGGAGCAGCTTTTTACATGAGTGGATCAACAGAAACCAAAGAAAAAGAAAGAAGCCAAGATGGTGGATTAGCACAGAACTCAGAAAAGTGAGATTTTAGTGGTAGAAGAAAAAAAATATTAAAACAAATCTGATGACCTCCCTTCACCATCTTCACTCAGGATCATCCTTTACTAAGAGTACATCTTTTGTATGAAAGGCCTCTTGCCACTTATGGCATGAGTAGGTTTTACAACAATTTATACAATCTGTGAATTATCAGAAAATTTCTGACACCCAGAGCTAAGTCTGTAGGGTCCCCGTTTAGCATTGACACCGAGATGAACACAGGAAAAATGAGATTTGCTAATAAATGTGGCAAAGAAAGATGTAGAATACAAGGGCATGAGCCAGAACAAGTTTCTCATTCTCATTTTTCAGTACATGCACTCTAGCTCCCAGCTATTGTGTTAAAAAACAGACAGACATGGATTTTCTCATCGATCACAGTAACAAAGAGAACTATCTTCCCCCATTAACAATCCATAGAGAAAATGGCTCTGCATGTTTATCTGAAGAGAGAGTTTAAGAAGAAGTTTCTTGTCACGTACTTGCAAAATGCGATCTCCTTCACGGATCCGGCCGTCTCTGGCAGCAATGCTGTTTGGATCAACCTGCACAGGACAATATTCAACAGCTAAATATGAAGAGATCTTTACTGGAAATGACCACATCTGCAGATTTGGAAACAATACCACTCCTTATTCTATACAGAGACAGTTTATAGCTTTCTTCACCGTCATATGAACTTAGAGGTTCTCTGAATAATCACAGAAGTTTGTTTTAGACAAAAGCCTAATGACAGAGAGGGTTGGGAGCATGCAATTTTCAGATTAATATTTTTCTATGTCACCATCAGGCACTAGCCTTCAGTTGCCAGAGCACTAAGAATTAATGGCAGAATTCCTCTGCCTTGGAAATTCACTACGGACTTGATTTGGGAGCATCTGACACCTCTATAAAAATGTGCCTGTCTTTAGGAAAGAAGCAAATTTACTTTTCCCTCACCAAAACATTTACTACTATATGATCGTTTCAGTTATCCACCTGTTATTTCTTCTGGAATTCTGTAGCTCTCAAGGAAATAGAAAAAAAACCTCCAGCAAAGTAGCAACATTATATAGATCATTCAGGGATTCTGTATAATAGTTCTGTTCTGAGTCAGTTAATTCTGAGTTAGCTTAACTTAAATAGATGCTTAGGGCTCCATTAACAGTTTATCAAAGTCACTACAGCTCATCTCTGAGAAATGACCTACTGCTCACAGGGCAATTCTATCTATCACCTTTCACTTGATGGTTATCTTAAATCATTTATTTTGCCTCGTCACGCCATAAGCTATTCTTTCAAATCAAGCATTTGAGTCTAGGTTACATCCTCTACAGCTGTTAGAATTTATTTTCTTTTTGGGCATTGTCACAGGAAAAAAAAATGATTCCAAAGTGCTTAATCAAGTATAAAAGACAATATAATTACATTCACTTAGAGAGGTTTGAGAGATTTCTACTGAGCAAGAAAAGCAGCAAATCTTGGATATAATTTTGTAGCGTATTAAAAGATTCCAGTATTTTCTTTCTTCTCACGAGGTGATAAGATGGACCTTCATAGCAGTGCTAATACATCTGTTGGAAGATTTACTCTTGGCTAGTTTATATTAATTCTTGATCTAAAGGTGAGTTTCTCAGATCCTTTGACATTTCTGCTGGCCTGTTATTGAATCATATTTTTCACTCCTGTTTTTATGCGATCTGCTTTACTGAGATACAGGAGGATTTTCTCTACCATTCACTCTGTCCATGAGTTTCAGAACATGTCACATGAAGGTGGTAAATCGGCAATCCAATGTATCCAGGACAGTCACCAGAAAGCGTGAATGCTAATGAGTTCTTCTGCCATGTTCTCCTAAGAAAGCCAAGAGAACCTGAGGATTCATCCCATCTAGGGAGCCAGTATTCTAGCTAAACTATGAATAGTGTTAAGATAGATCATTCTCACATATTCTCCTCCCAAGCTATTCTCTCCACGTGACATTTCTTGTGTGCATACTATAACTGCAACAAAAAAATAGAACTAATGAAATAATGATTAGTCATTGTTCTGATTAGTGAGGCTGCAGCAGCAGGAGAATGTGGCACGGTGTGGAGCAGGTTTTCTCCATAAAAATTCTGCCTGATTTCCCACACAAGGGCAAATTTATTTCAGAATTCAGACCATGCTCAGACTCCTTTGTACTTCCCTAACTATGATGTTGTAGTTAAAAGCATGCAGATTAAACAAGCACACTAGTAATAATTACACTACTTGGGCAACATAATTTAAACTGATAATTTAAATGAATTGGAAGTGACAGGGCTGGCTGATGGCCGACATTTCCGCAGCCCCGGCTCAGAGCACTTGTTCCTATTTTCCCTGTTGTGCTCCTCGCCTCCACCCCGCACCCCTCCCACCATCCCATCTTTACCTCGCTGACATAGATCCCCGTGTCTTCCTCATCATCTGTTCTGTAACAGACCGTCAGCCCCAGCTTCTCTTGGCTGCCAATGCGGCACAGCTCCACCTCCTACAAGAAAACACACAGACTCGCATGACGGCTTTTACCCAGGCTAGAAAACATCACATAGCACAGTGGAATACCAACCCAGTGACACTCTCTTGCCCAGCCACTGAGAAGGAGCAATCTTTCCTCAAAACAGTAGAATTTTACTATGGTATCTCAAGTCGCATCTTGGAAATAGGAAACGTTGGCTGCTACTGCCTAGGCTCAAGAGACAATATTTTGTGTGCATGTTCATGAGGAAAAAAGGGAATTAAGAATAAAGTATCAATATATTGCAGTGTCAGGCTAGATAGATAGAAACAGTTCATCAAGACAGGCCTAAATAGAGAAATATGGATGTGCATTGATTTTGTTGTTTTGTTTTCTTCTTTTTCTTTTTTTCTTTTTTCTTTTTTTTTTTTTGCCTATGGCTAATAGAAGCTGACTTACAGTATATTACATAGTCATTTTAGTCCCATCAAACCAACTATTGATTTATAGGATAGACGACAGACTGGCTACACATCAATCAATCCATGATAGAAGCGCCACTCTCTTCAAAGAGCAATCTAGGCCACAAAGCAAAAACATAGCCTGCTATTAATAGCATAATTCATTCCTCACTTTAAGGGCATAGTTTCAGTGTAGAAGCTGTTAGGTAACAGAAGGATGCTTCAAGGAATCTCCTGTTGAGTTGAACAGCCATGGCATCCTCCTCAATTGTGAGATGATGCAGAAAACATATTTTTAGTGCCAGATGTCCCAGCAGTGGCATCTCATGAAAAGTGCAAGTTTTAGGGCAGATGGCACAGTGATAACTACTACATACACCCATCTGAGCTAAGTGTCTTTAGGGTTTCACAGGGGAATCATTCACAAAAATGCAAAGCTGCTCTTGGTTCGAATGCTGTAGAACAAATAATTGCAATAAATCCTCATGAATCCAATAACAGCGAGTTTTAGCTTGTTTGCAAATATGAAACTTCAGCAACAAACACTTTCAGAACAAATAATTGCAATAAATCCTCATGAATCCAATAACAGCGAGTTTTAGCTTGTTTGCAAATGCGAAACTTTAAAAGGAGTCTGCAAGTGACATTTGGAGCTTGGCTGCTTCTGCATCTTATGGGCATGCAAGAAGAAAAGAGGCACATCAGTCCTTCACAATTGATTTACAGGCTGCAGCTCAGCCACTGAAACTGTGGGTCAGTGGCAAAAGACCCGTGTGTGTCACTGGTCCAGCCCTTTACTCAGACCCGTGCTTTGGTTTCCAGACTGTGACACAGAATTTGTTTCTCTCGATCCCCTAGAGAGGTCCTACAGATTAAGTCCACAAATGGCCATGGCATGCAGGACTCTCTACCAACACCAACAGAGTTGTGGGGACCAGCTGTCAAAACAATTCAATTTACTGAAAAAACCCTGCATTTCACATACACAGTTAAACCTTTGAACCCAGTACCATTTTCATTTCAGTTCAACACATGTCATATAGTTCGCTACTATGGCTGGTGACCCTGCTCCCTCACCAACATATGAATCTGCATGGGTTTAATCTACCTGCACAAACTGTATAAACTTTACCTTGGACTTATGACATTACATATTTTAATAAAACAATAAGAAAGTGTAAAAACAATACCATAAAACCTGTAATATTATTTAGTTTTTCTTAAATATTATAGGAACTTTAAATAGCTAATTGTATGGTAACAAGTGGAATTAGTCACTAGCAGATGTGTTACATAACAGGCTTCAGAGAAGAAACATGGACCCATATTTTATTAAGAAAGAGAATTACAGTGACCTAATTTTGGCATTGGGAACAAAGTGTGTATGCTGAAGGGAGGCCTATTCAAAACTCATAATAATTGATACCTCCAGAGGGAAAGAACACTTCACTAGAACTGTAATATTAGGAAGGAATTACAGTAACAAAACGGCTTCAATTACAGCAACAAGGTACACTTTTAAGGAATAGAGAAGCTTGCGGTCCCTTGGAGGCCTATAAGGAAGCCTAAATACACCATAAAGGGCTGAGACTGGGACCTTTAAATCAAGGCAAATGAGGAGCCAGGCACAGGCTGAAATCCATTGACTTTCATTGTCCTGCTGGCAGAGCCTCAGATCTCCCCATGCTGAGGCTGGACACAGACCCCAGACTGCTCTGAACATATTTTTTTTTTTTCAGTCGAGAATGACCTTGAAGTTCTTGTGGATGATTTGTCTCAAATCTCAAAATGGTTTTTACTGTGAAGCTGTACGCATGTTTTAGGCTGTGAATGAGCTGAATCCTATTAGAGTGTATGGTTTCTTTGAGCAGAAAAAATGAACTGTTTAGAGCATGAAAGGGTGAAGCAAAATCAAAAAGATGCTAGAGGCCCATCCTAGCAGTCTGAAAGATTTGCCAAAACCCTTGTAAGGGTATATCCGGAGATGAATATCCACTGACTGCAGCACACCTGGGCAGCCTGTGCATCCTGCAGTAGCCTGGCTTTCCTTTCCCTTGGTAACACAGCTGAGCTCCACACTCACTGTTGGGACTGCTACTCATTTCCTGATGACTGCATGGGCAGAAGGCTGATGACACTGTGTAGCTGAGGCCATATAGCTGGAGATATCTACAACTGAGACAGTGGTACTTAGTGTTAAAAGACACTTGTCCAATAAACATTCCATTCCACAACCAATACCTCACTCATTTCTGGAGAAAAGACGAATGACATCTCTTGGTTTGTATGGAAATCATTTAGATATTTGGTTTTTATCTACCATGTCTCTGCACTACTAACCTTATGGTATCTTCTTCTTTTACAACAAACATGATATATTCACTTAGTATTAAACAAGTCAAGGCTAACATAGCATTTCTTGAAAACTGAAAACCACTTTGCATGAACAAACTCTGTCTTTACATGATGGTTGATAAGCATAACTTAAACAACTTCAACAGAGCAACAGTTATCTAAGGAATCAGAAAACCTGGCCCCTTGCGATAAGAAGTATTTGATAGTACATTCAGTAAGAGATGCTTTTTGGTGTGTTCTTCCCTACTGGTCTTTAACAGAAGAAACATGAAGTTTGGCAGTAATGAATTTGTATGGATGTGATTTCCTTCTTTTAAATTCTCTTTGATAAATACACTTACGCACACATGCACATCTATAGTTTCTTTTTCTTATTTTACCTTTTGGATTTACTGCCTGTGCATGTGGGGACTTAACTTATTGTCTTCAAAATTCAGCATTTTAAGAATATGTGAGAAACAATATTTGGGGATTCACGAAATGTGCTGACAGACAGATGGTGAAAGGAGCGGGACTGAGGAGAGAGCTCAGGAGATGACAGCCTCCCCCTCTTTGGGCACTCTGGGGGCAGCCGCCTCTCAACATGAACAGTATTCTGCTGCCAAGTGACAGAAATCAATGCCAAATCATTAAATCTTTGACTTGCTTCTTTACTGTCTGTGCACTGGGCAATAATTCACTGCATTACTACATTGAAGACTATTTCAAAGTGTTTCGCAATACATTAAAAAAAAAAACACATATAGGGAAACTGGTTTAAAGACCAGCCTGTCTTGAAAGATAAGGATGCAGATTTCCAAGGTAGCCCACTTCTCCATGGAAAAGATTGCAAAGAGATGGAGGTTATGCTCACAAAGGGCTGAAAACAACTTATATTGTTTATCCTCTGAAGTGATGGAGTAGTGGTTGTAGCCTCTGGTTCCTGGTTAGAGGCCATCATTCGCTTTAGGGATGGAAAAACAGTTTACAGGCTGTCAGCCTCAGGAGACAGAAGACGAAACAAGGATCTGTCACCTCTTTGAAGAGGAAAGCTAGGTTAATGCTGTCATTTCTTTCAAATGGTATGGTAGAGAAGTATTTTATAAACGCCATCATCTGGGCTTTTGACTTTCTAGAACTGATAAAAAGAGGGTAAGGGCTATTAAAGGGGAACTTGTAAGTTTTCACCACTTGGCAGTTTTAGTGGCTTTTTCTACTAAAAGCTAGATTACAAAGGGTCAAGCTGCTAATCTGCTAGAAAACAGACCGCAAACCCTCCAATAACTATCCTTGAAGAGTCTTTTAAGGGCAGAAAAAGCTCTGAATGCTACACCCTGTGCCTCCATAAACTGGAAAACAGATTACCACCTAAGAAGGAAGTTGGTAAAGAAGGATCTTGCCTTACACAGAAGATGCTGGTACAAGTTATTCATCTGACGATACCTTGCTGGTATAACCACATGAAGGAAAGCTTATTTTCCTCCATTTTCCCTTGGAAAATAAGACAAACAAAATGCACAGCCCAATACGAGTTGGTTGCAATGCACACTAAGTTCATGTCATTCTCACCAGCCCATCTGCAACTCCTGTTCACAGGACAGGAGCTGACCACACTCTATAGAAGGGCTTCTGGTGCTCAGAGGTGGCTGGCTGGCTCTGAAGCTCAGGATAAACTTGAGATATGGTGTGGGGCTTGCCTAAGAATGGCTGAGGAAGAGCAGATTTGGAAAATCCCTGTGTGTCTCTGCAGGTACAGGACACCAGGCAGTTTATACAGATCTCAGAGATTTGCATATTCCAGCATGTAAATCTAACCATTATTAGTGGTAACAGTGATAAGGGACAACTTCATTAGAGTGAGAAAAGTTAGCTTATCTGATAACTACAGAAACTGGAAGCTGCAACAGAAATAGAGGATAATGTTATTTTTGCTGAATTTGAATTCCTTTGTTCACAGGGACAGAAAGACACTGATGCAATTGAAAGAAATGCAAAAAGGGAAAAAAAACATAGAACAAAAACTTTTCCATAGCAAATGAGAGAGGAAGAACTTGTTGACAGAAGTAACTGGTTAGAATATTGTGAAATTTTCTGATAAACCACTGGGCGCATATCAGATGACTGTGAATATGTTTGAGATTCTTCTCTATATTGAAGCGAACTTTCCCTATCTTTTCAAATTCATGATCATTTTAAAAAACGTTTAATAAAATATTGCCCTTAAAAATATTTTTTCAC